CTGATTCTCTCCGGGAGCTCCCAAGTTACATCCTCCTCCCTGGCTGGTCAGGCCTAGCCTGAGCTGCCTGGCTGGCTTTTTAGCCCTGACTCCAGTCCGAGTAGGCTCACAAGGGCTAAGGAGAGGGGCCTCCTTATCCAATAACTATTCCTTAACCCCTTCTTGGCCAGTGAGGGGCCTATACCCGGTCATACCCAATTCTATGTTGGCTTTTTTGCAGCCACATCAGGTTGCAAACTTCTGTCTAACTAGATCTGTTTTTGGTGTTCCTGCTTCCCAGATTTTTGCATCCTGTTGATCATTTCCCTGTTGTATATTAGCCTATATTTCCTAAAAGGAATGTCTTATTTTTCTCTCTAGAGAGACACTGTGGGTGAGGTAATATCTTTTATTGGACCAACTTCTGTTGGTGAGAAAGACAAGCTTTCAAGCATATGCAGAACTCTTATTCTTTTCTTTCCACAATTGATTTTCATTGACCCCCTTTGCATTATTTCATTGTCCATGATGGTATTAAGAACTCTCTCCATTGGAGTCAGCTGTGACTTCATTGAGGAGTGGTATGCCCTCTCCCCCAGCCATTAATAATTTAAACAAGGCTGGATTCACCTCCAGTCTCAGATATACCAAATGCTCTTGCTGAGTAAACATCTCTCTTTCTAGGCATGGTATTTCTCATAGACTATCAGGGTTGGAAGGGACCTCAGGGGGTCATCTAGCCCAACCCACTGCTCAAAGCAGGACCAATCCCCAGACAGAGTTTTGCCCCAGATCCGTAAATGGCTTCCTCAAGGATTGAGTTCACAACCCTGGGTTTAGCAGGCCAATGCTCAAACCACTGAGCTATCCTTCCCCCAGCTATCAGCCTGTTAGCAGAACAAACCAAATAAAACCCATAATAGCTGCCTGGCTCTGTCTCAGTTCTTAGACCCACTGTTTCCTTGTGGTCTTTAACAGCAGCAGTTATATCATATGTAGAGAGGACTGCCCATTCCCAGATCTCGAGGCGGTTGTCCTTACTTGTGAACTGTTGTGCTGCTCATAAGTCCCCCCGTGCCCTCCAAGCAGTGTCATCAAGCTAATCTGGAGGTTATTAAGGCTCACCCTCTGAACAAATATTTATTTAATCCCTGCTGATCCTCGATTAAGGGCACTAAGATTTCCTCCCAGGGACCATCTTGAGCGTGCTATCAATCCAGAAGGGTTCCCTCCCTGACTCCCAAAATTGCACTGCCCCCATCATACTGGTACTTAACCTCAATGCTTGAGGCATCCCACTAGATCTCTTCCCAAGGACAGTTTTTAGTGTTTATTACATTGTTTCTGTGCAAGCCAATTAGAACTCATTTTTTCAGTGAAGATTCTGAGACACAGTATCAAATACTTTCATTATTGATCTATAGATTATAAGAATGGCCATACTGGGCCAGATCAATGGTCCATCTAGCCCAGTATCCTGTCTTCTGACAGTGGCCAGTGCCAGGTGCATCAGAAAGAATGAACTGAACAGGGCAGTTATTGAGTGATCCATCCCGTCATCCAGTCCCAGCTTCTGGCACTCAGAGATTGAGGAACACTCAGGGCATGGGGTTGTGTCCCTGACCAGCTTGGCTAATAGTCATTTATGGACCTATCCTTCATGAACTTAGTAAATCTTTTTAAACCCAGTTATAATTTTGACTTCCACAACATGCCCTGGCAATGAGTTCCACAGGTTTACTGTGTGTTGTGTGAAGAAGTACTTCCTTATCTTAATTTTAAACTTTCTGCCTATTTATTTCATTGGGTTACTCTGGTTCTTCTGATAGATGAAAGGGTAAATAACACTTTTTCTCCATCCATAATTTTATAGACTTCTATCATATCCCCCACTTAGTCGTCTCTTTTCTAAGGTGAACAATCCTGGCCTTTTTAATCTCCTTTTTTTACGGAAGCTGTTCCATACCTCTAATAATTTTATTGCCCTTTTTGTTTCTTTTCCAATTCTAATATATCTTTTTTTGAGATGGGACGACCAGAACTGTACACGGTATTCAATGTGTGGGTGTACCATGGATTTATATAGTGGCATTATGATATTTGAGTCTCTCCCTTTCCTGATGGTTCCTAACGTTCTGTTAGCATTTTTTGACTGCTGCTGCACATTGAGCGGATGTTTTCAGAGAACTATCCACAATGACTCTATGATTTCTTTCTTGAGTGGTAACAGATAATTTAGATCCCGCCATTTTGTATGTATAGTTGGGATTATGTTTTCCAGTGTAGATTATTTTGCACTTATCAACATTGAATTTCATCTGCCATTTTGTTGCCCAGTCACCTGGTTTACTGACTTCCCCTTGTAATTCTTCGCAGTCAGCTTTGGACTTAACTATCTTGAATAATTTTGTGTCATCTTCAGATTTTACCACCTCACTGTTTACTCCCTTTTCCAGTTCATTTATGAATATGTTGAACAGCACAGGTCCCAGTACAGATCCTTGATGGAACCTCCTATATGTCTCTCTCCACTGTGAAAACTGACCATTTATTCCTATCCTTTGTTTCCTATCTTTTAATCAGTTACTGATCCATGAGAGGACCTTTCCTCCTATCCTATGACTGCTTACTTTGTTTAAGAGCCTTTGGTGAGGGACCTTGTCAAAAGCTTTCTGAAAGTCCATATTCGCTATATCACTTGGATCACCCTTGTCCACATGCTTGTTGACTCTCTCAAACATTTTCAATAGGTTGGTGAGTCATGATTTCCATCTGCAAAAGCTTTTTGACTCTTCCCCAACATATTGTTTTCATCTGTGTATCTGATAATTCTGTTCTTTGCTAGAGTTTCAATCAGTTTCCCGGATACTGAAGTTAGGATTACTCATCTGTAATTGCCAGGATTTCCTTTGGAGCCTTTTTTAAAAATTGATGTTATATTGGCTACCCTCCAGTCATTTGGTAGAGAAGTTGACATAAGTGATAGGTTACATGCCACAGTTAGCAATTCTGCAGTTTCACATTTGAGTTCCTTCAGAACTCTTGGGTGAATACCATCTGGTCCTGGTGACTTACTACTGTTTGTTCCAAAACCTCCTCTACTTACATGTCAACCTGGGACAGATTTCAGATATGTCACGTAAAAAGAATGGCTCAGGTGTGGGAATCTCCCTCACGTCTTTGGCAGTGAAGACTGATGCAAAAAATTCATTTAGTTTCTCTGCAACGGCCTTGTTTTCCTTGAGTGCTCCTTTAACACCTTGATTCTCCAGTGGCCCCACAGATTGTTTGGATCACGTCTACATTCCTCTCATTAGTGTTATAATTCTGTTCAAACAAGCAATCAGGTTTGATTATTCTTTATAAACCCAATGTGATCAACTATGGAGTCATGACCACAACTTTGTAATAGCTGTTAAACTCAACTTGCCTCCTTCAAGGCTTTCTATCAAGTAAGCTGTTATTTATAGATGTAAGGACCAGGAAGGACCATTGTGATCAACTAGTGCAACCTTCTGCATAGCATAAGGTATAGAATTTCACTCAGTATTTCCTGCATTTAACGCATTAACTTGTAATTTAATTAGAGTATCTCTTATAGTAAGCCATCTAATCATACTTTAAAGATTTCAAGTGATGGAGAATTTACCACATCCCTTGGCAATGTGTTCCAGAGGCTAATTACCCTCACTGTTAAACGTTTGCTCATTTCCACTTTGAATTTTACTGACTTCAGCTTCCAGTCATTGGACTTTGTTCTGCCTTTGAGTGCTAGACGGAAGAACCCTCTAATATCTGATAGCTTCCCTGGTGTAGTCACTTACAGGCTTATTGAATAGCTTCTTAACATACCCTTTTTGATAAATGAAGTAGATTGAACTTCTAGTCTCTCACTGTAAATTATTTTTTCAGACCACAAATCATTCATGTAGCTCTTCTTTGAACTATCTCCACGGAAGAGGGAAAGGGAATAATGTGGTTTTATTTCGTAGCAGCTTCACTTGACAACATCAAGTTGCATAAGGCTTTTATACCACTGCCCATCACAGTAGTATCTGAAGGTCAGGTTTTTAAAGGTATTTACATGCCTAAAGATGCCTGGTGGGATTTCAGAAGAGCCTAGGCATCTTACTACTATTGACTTAAATGGGAGTTAGGCACCTTGGTGCCTAGGGGGACTTTCAAGAACACCTATCTGCATCTTTAGGGACCACTTTTAAAAATATGGCCCAAGTGCCTTCCACATAAAATCAATAGCAATAACAAAATCTCTAGCAGACTTCATGGGGCCTCTGGCACTTTTATTTTTCAGGGTAAAAACTCTGCTTGGGGTAGGATTCTCTTTTAAAATGTTATTAATTTACTTTTTTGGTATTTACTTAGGTTTAAGTTGTTTCAAAGTTGGTATCTTATGGTTTGTTGGGGATATGTTGGTATCTGAATGAGAGGAAATAGTATCTCTTTGGGTAGATAAATTTAATTTATGTCCTGTGTGGTTTGCAAAGCTCGTTGACATCTGTTCACTGAACTGTAGGGGTGGGAATGGAGCTCTATTTTTGAGCTAGCTCCCACCATCCTCTGAAGTGCTCAGAGCTCCTTTAGGCAACATGTATTCAGCTTGTGGAATTTGTAACTGAAGAAGGTCAGACAGTCAATAGCATGGCTGGATAATGTTATAAATTCTAAAATCAGGGTAATCCCACTGAGGTGAGGAACATTTCCATGTCCAGCATTGCACAGCTGGCCAGTTCCAGGGCCTCTTACCACAGCAGAGACAGAGGATGAATGGCTCAAGCCAACAATGTCCTTGGACCCTGAGACCTAGAAGGGCTGATGGAATTGGCTGGGAAACAGCGGGTCTGGGATAGGAGTCATTTGGACATGTCTTCTTGTTGCCTAGGATTTTGAAATGATAATGCCTTTAAATCTAAAAGCTTCTCTCCTCTCTCTCCCACCTTCCACCATTGTGTGTGTGTGTGTTTGTGTGTCTATCTCTCTGTCTGTCTCCCTCCCCTCCTCTCAGTCAGAAGGCTTTAGCTGCACTTGAAGCAAAGCATTCATTGTTAAAGAGCGAGTTGGTTGCCAGGAGGGAGGCGCTGGAGAAATCTCACCTTGATGGGGAGTTGATGAAGCAAGAGAAACATGAGCTTGCCATGGCATTGGAGAGGGTACGGGCTCATCTGTTATTCCCAGGCAGCATCAAGCCCAGCTTGTTATTTCAAGAGCGAGTTCAAATAGCAGGCTCACCATACACTGCTCCCTGCAGTATGAAAAGGCTAGATAGTGTTATCTCCCATAAGGGGACACCAGAATCAAGCCAGAAAAACACTTCAGGGAGTTAAGCCTTCATGTGCATAGAGGGATGGCTGAGAGAGGATTGGGACCCCGACTAGAGGGAAAGAGGAATTCCTAGAGGATTAGGGGTGTGTATGGTGAGAGGGATGCACTTTGGGAATGAGGGAGGAGGACTGTCTTGGAGACATAGCTGATGTCAGGGGTTTGGTATGGAAAAGGCGATCCTTGGGTTAAAGCAAGAAAAGCCTTTGAGGGGTTTTGTTTTCATCTCCTTCCTTTCTTCTTTGCCCTGCTAGGCAGAACAGTCAATTGCTGAGTTGACAGGGGTTCAGAATAAACTGAAGGCAGAAACCGCTGATCTGCATGATGTGGCTGAGAAGATGAGTGGCATTAATGAGGCTCTAGCTTTGGATAAAATGCAGTTGAATCAGCTTGTCCTGCAGGTGAGTAGAGGTCTCCAAGAGTTGGGTTTACCTTGGTGAGGTCTCCTTCAAGCTTCTCCAGGGAATACTGGGGCTGACTGAGTGTGGACATGGCACAGTGTTCTCTGCCCAGGGCAGAGGCCCCAAAAAGAGTATGTCTGTGTTCTCTGCTCCTTGATTTCCTTTTTTGTTTTTTTCCTTGACTGTAGTTGGAGCAGGAGAATCAGGCTTTGTCAAGCAAAGTGAAGGACATGCAGAGAGCAACAGCCTCTGTGCAGGAGGAGCTGAGCCTGTCCGAAAGAGCAAATGAGGAGCTCTGTGCAGAGAAAACCCTTCTGGAGCAGTTGCTGCAGAAAGCTAAGGAGGTGCAGGAGGAACTGCAGGCAGAGTTGGGTGTGCTGAGAGATGAGAGAAAAGAGACCCATGAGGTGATGAGTCAGGTGAGAGAGACCCCCCTGTCCTCCACAGGAATCTGGCAGCACCAGCACTGTGGTGCTGAGGCTGGGCGTGGTGCTGTTGGGTTTTAGAACACCATCAGCACTAAGACATCCAGTGCTGTTGGAAACAATACAGGGTCAGAGTTCACATGACTCTTGTGCATTTCCTACTCGGCATGTCTCAGACTGATGGTGAAGGGTGGGGTTTGCGATGACTCTCCATGTTTTCTTGGGAGTTGAATTGTCCAATGGAGAGTATAGTGCATATAGTGAAGACGGTCACTTTCCACCCCAGGAACCCAAAACACTTCATAAATATTAGTGAGTTCAGCCTCACAACCTCCCTGAGAGGGAGGGACACTAGCCCCATGTTATAGGAATCTGAGGCTGAAGATTGCAGGCCTATGACAAAGCATGGAATAGGACCCAGTCATGCCATTCTTCTAGCACTACCACTGCACCTGTCATTGCCCCAAGGAGAACTCACTGGGAAATGTTGTGTATTGCAATAGGGGCCCATTTCATCCCTGCACCCAACGAATCTGCATTTTCTGATGAAAAATTCCTGACCAGCTCTTGTTAGGGGATTTCCCCATGGGCTGGCTTTGCAGTCTCATGATACTAGGGTAGTGGAATGCAAGGTTCTGTACTAGGTCCAAAATGTCAGGAAGCATAAGGAATGGAATAGAAAATATGGAAAATGTAATGCCCTTGTATAAATCAGCAATCCGGCCTCCACTAGATAATGTATGCAGTACTGGTCACCCCATTTCAAAAGGATATTGCACAATTAGAGGGGGCTCTGAAAGAGGTAATGGTGAGAGCAGTTAGGGGCCTGGAAAAACTCCTATAAAGAGCCGTTGAGAAGATTGGCATTGTTTACATTAGGGAGGAGACATCATAAGAATATATAAAATACCGAATGGTCTAGAGAAGGGAGATTTAGTCACCCTGACTCCTAATTCAAGAACAAGGGCAGATTCAATTAAATGAGACAATGGTAAATTGATAAAAGGAAATGCTTTTTCATACAGCATGTATTTAGAGTACGGAACTCCATTGCCACAGGATGCCACCACTGAGGCCAAGGACTTAGCAGGATACAGAGAGGACATTTATATGGGTGACCAAAATATTGAGAGTTAGAATAGTAACTAGTAAGAAAGGAAATGGAAGGGCTATAAATCTGCTTGCATTGGGGCTGAAGCCAATCTCTAACAGTTCTGGATTTGGAGGACAGTCCCCTGGGGGGATTATCCTATGGGCGGGGATTCATGCACTTTTCTTTGGTGTGTCTTGCACCTTTCTCTGAAGCAGCTGGTATTGGTCAGTGTCAGAGATAGATAGGATAGTGGCCTGGTTGGACCATTGGTCTGATCCACTCTGGCAATTCTTGTGTTCCTACAGATTATTTTGGCCCTCTGAATCCCATGGGCCCTTGCTCCTCACTTCCCCTGCCTGCAGCTCCTGGGAATGATTTATAAATGCCCATGCTTTCTAGAAGAGCCTCCATGCCAACGGTAGCTGGCCTTAAGCAACCTTTGTTACTCACTCCAAGCTGACCAGGATGATACTGCTGCCTCGTGTCTTGACTTATTAGTTAGTTCCTTCGGGGTACCCTGCCTTGATTACTTGCTATAACTGAATGCTTATCTTGTTGCCTGTTATAAATGACTTGTCATTTACACCTTGTCCTCTGTCTCTGCTAACCACTCTCCAGCCACCACCAGGCTTCCTTCACTCATCTTCTGGATCCACTCCTCACTTGTCCTCATCCAGTTCTCCCCCTCCCAACCTCATTCTCACAAATCCTCTTACCTTCTCCCTGTCCTGTCTTCAGCAACATGTCTCCTAGGCCATGCCTTCCTCCTATCCCATCATCACCCTCACCCCACTGGCTGCAAGCTGAGCCACCCCATTTCATAGAACCATAGAAGATTAGGGTTGGAAGAGATCTCAGGAGGTCATCTAGTCCAACCCCCTGCTCAAAGCAGGACCAACCCCAACTAAATCAACCCAGCCAGGGCTTTGTCAAGCCAGGCTTTAAAAACCTCTAAGGATGGAGATTCCACCACCTCCCTAGGGAACCCATTCCAATGCTTCACCACCCTCCTAGTGAAATAGTTTTTCCTAATATCCAACCTAAACCTCCCCCACTGCAACTTGAGCCCATTGCTCCTTGTTCTGTCATCTGCCACCACTGAGAACAGCTGAGCTCCATCCTCTTTGGAACCCCCCTTCAGGTGGTTGAAGGCTGCTATCAAATCCCCCCTCACTCTTCTCTTCTGCAGACTAAATAAGCTCAGTTCCCTCAGCCTCTCCTCTTAAGTCATGTGCCCCGGCCCCCTAACCATTTTCGTTGCCCTCCACTGGACTCTCTCCAATTTGTCCACATCCTTTCTGTAGTGGGGGACCCAAAACTGGACGCAATACTCCAGATGTGGCCTCACCAGTACTGAATAGAGGGGAATAATCATTTCCCTCGATCTGCTGGCAATTCTCTACTCTGCACTTGTCTTTGTTGAACCTCATCAGATTTCTTTTGGCCCAATTCCCCAATTTGTCTAGGTCACTCTGGACCCTATCCCTACCCTCCAGCATATCTACCTCTCCCCCCCACTTGATGTCATCCGTGAACTTGCTGAGGGTGCAATCCATCCCATCATCCAGATCATTAATGAAGATGTTGAATAAAACCGGCCCCAGGACCGACCCTGGGGCACTTCGCTTGATACCGGCTGCCAACTAGACATCGAGCCATTGATTGCTACCCGTTGAGCCTGATGATCTAGCCAGCTTTCTATCTATCTTTGTACTCCATTCATCCAATCCATACTTTTTTAACTTGCTGGCAAGGATACTGTGGGAGACCATATCAAAAGCTTTGCTAAAGTCAAGTCCAACCCCAAACCCTCCCAGTTTCTTTTCCCCAAGGCTACTTGCTTCACTCTACCACCAACCCTCAACTTCCCAAGGCCTGGGTCTCAAGGGAAACTCCTACTCCTCAGTGTACTTTACCCAGCTGTCTGTGGGGCCTCCTGCTAAGCTCCTTGGACAGAATTCTTCTAAAGCCACTTGCAGGTCTTTTGCCTGGAGAGGCCTCGAACTTCTGCTTCTGTCCATGTCCAAAGAGAGATCCACAGCAAATCTTGCTCCCTCCCTCATCATTCCTTTACTGAAGTGAGAGAACCCTTTATAAAAAGTCTAATTTTCCAGCATTCTTTGCTGGAAAGCCTACTGCTCCCAAGATTCCATTTATTCTGGGTTGTAACAGAGCAGAGCTGTAGCCAGCCTTAAAGGGCCCTCATGCCCTGTTACAGGTGGAAATGGAGCATCAGATGTACCTGTTTTCAAAATTCACCGGTAAACTTTTAGGAAAGGTGGTAACACAACTTTGATTACGTGGGAGCCCTTCCTCAAGCCCTGAGGAAGAAGAGAAGAGAGAAATCAACAAACAGACAATTTAAACTGACACTGAACTAATTTTAGTTTAGTTTATCAAAAAGAAAATTTGTGAGCATCATGTGTCAATGGAGTAGAATGGGGAATTTGTCTTCACTTGTTTGATTGTTTCATAATCTGCTATACTAATTTTGGGTATTATAATATAGGATAGGTTTGTTATCTTATTTCATTTTAAGGCCTTTTCTTTGTTTGATAATCTGAGGTTTTGTGTACTATGCTTTGTTTGACAAATACCCAGCTGGGGTGCTATGATGAAAGAAAAGCTAAATAGCTTGGATTAGTGTCCAAGCTTGGCTGTCTCTTGGAAATGTGAAGGAGGAATCTGATCTGTGCAGCACTTATGGACAGGACTATGTTATAAATCAAAAGCCTTGTTGGTGCAGGCACGTTTGCAGTCTACCATCTCCCCACTTTCATATCTTGGCCACATCAAACTGATTTTCACAGAGTGCTGGAAGACACTTCTCATCCGCAAGAGCTGTTTTCCTGCCAAATCTAAGCTATTTACACCCAGCCACTTAAAGGAAAAGTGGGATCAAATTGTCATTTTTTAAGAATGGGAAAGCATATTTATTTATTACTCTCGTCGGTCTCACAAATGCCTAAACTGTCTTTGCTCAAACTTTTCAAAAAGTCACCTTTGGGCATACTTCGACCAGGACTCTCAAAAGATTTCAGTTTGAAAGGTGAAAGCTTTGGAAAGTTTAATACAGGGATAGCTCCCGGAGGCCAATACCATTGAATTGCGTCCACACTACCCCTTCGCCCTATGTGTTGGTAGTGCCTGAGCTAATGTTAGAATTGTCTAATATACAGGTTAAGGAAAGAGTGTCTGTACTTCTGGGTATAATGCTTAAATTATCCAAAAGTATAAAGTCTGATTTAAAAGTCATAAATACATATAATACATAATCTGCAATAACAAATTAGGGTTAATAAATTCAGTGATACAGTTAAAAGTATTAGCATCCAAATATTTGGGCACATCACTCATAAGAGGTTATACTAAGGGTATGTCTACACTATGAAATTAGGTCGATTTTATAGAAGTCGATTTTTTAGAAATTGATTTTATACAGTTGATTGTGTGTCCCCCCACTAAGCGCATGAAGTCGGTGGAGTGCATCCACAGTACTGAGGCTAGCGTCGACTTTCGGAGCGTTGCACTGTGGGTAGCTATCCCACAGTTCCCGCAGTCTCCACTGCCCATTGGAATTCTGGGTTGAGCTCCCAATGCCTGATGGGGCAAAAACATTGTCGCGGGTGGTTTTGGGTACATGTCATCAGGCCCCCCTCCCTCCGTGAAAGCAACGGCAAACAATCGTTTCTTACCTTTTTTCCTGGGTTACCCATGCAGACGACATACCATGGCAAGCATGGAGCCCACTCAGCTCACCGTCGCCGTACGTCTCCTGGGTGCTGCTGGCAGACGCGGTACTGCATTGCTACACAGCAGCAGCTCCTTGCCTTCGCAGCAGCAGACAGTGCAGTACAACTGCTAGCCGTCGTTGTCATCTCCTGGGTGCTCCTGGCCGACCTCGGTGAGGTCGGTCAGGGGCACCTGGGCAGACATGGGTGCTCCTGGCCAGCCTCGGTGAAGTCGGTCGGGGGCGCCTGGACATAAATGGGAGTGACTCCAGGTCATTCTCTTCAAGTTTCGTCTAATGGAGATTCAGTCCTGCGTGGAATATCATGCGAGCTGGAGGCTTTTGCCTTAGGCTGCTCTCCCAGCCAGCAGCACTGCACGGTCGCACCTACCCCAGCCTACCCCTTGCTCCCATGGCTCATGAAGCCTGAACAGTAGTAAGGAGCAGTTCAACTATAGGCTGAACAAGTGCAGAATGGTGGTAGAATGTGCCTTTGGACGTTTAAAATCTCGCTGGCACTGTTTGCTGACTAGGCTGTTTGTGATTAGAAGGCACGCTGTGCATCACAGAGGCTTTGAAAACCAGTTTCATGACTGGCCAGGCTTCGGTGTGACAGTTGTGTGTGTTTCTCCTTGATGCAAATCCTCCCCCTTTGTTGATTTTAATTCCCTGTAAGCCAATTTCCAATTCTGGGACTCCATGGTCACCTCTGCTGATGAGATCTGCACGGTCACCTCTGAGCTTGCCACGCTGGCCAAACAGGAAATGAAATTCAAAAGTTCGCGGGGCTTTTCCTGTCTACCTGGCCAGTGCATCTGAGTTGAGAGTGCTGTCCAGAGCGGTCACAATGGAACACACTGAGATAGCTCCCGGAGGCCAATACCATTGAATTGCGTCCACACTATCCCAAATTCGACCCAGCAAGGTCGATTTCAGCGCTAATCCCCTCGTCGGGGAGGAGTACAGAAATAAATTTTAAGAGCCCTTTAAGTCGACAAAAATGGCTTCGTCGTGTGGACGGGTACAGGGTTAAATCGATCTAATGCTGCTAAATTCGACCTAAACTCATAGTGTAGACCAGGGCTAAGAGTAGATTATGGAAAGCAAATATAGCAATGAGTGTAGATTGTCCCTCAGTAATTGAGAATTTAGGGTAGGTAAATACAATCCATCACAGAAGTATTTCAGTTACTTTCCTGACTTCACTTCTCAATGGCACTCCAGCTCATCTCTCCTGGTATTGCCGATGTCTGGTGATGTGTTCTAAATAGTCGATGTGTCCCTCGACTACCTGATGGCGTCCAATACCATGAGTTGCCACATCAGCTGAGCGTAGCACTGATCAATTCCACATTCCCACAACACTCACGCATTACTGGGGCCCCATGCACCCAGGGACCAGAGCTATAGTACTATCCCAAGCAACCCAATATGGACATAGACATCATTTCCAAATTGTCATTTTCAGGCCTGGTTGTCTCCTGGTACATCAGTGCAGAGTGACACCATGAAGGGAGATTATCTCAGTCCTTCAGCCTTCTCCTCTGGCTAGCTCAAGAGTGAAACTGATGAGTTCTGGAGAGTATCTTGGCTAGTAGTAGGAGCTCATTTCCTCCTTTCCCCCCATTTTCAGATGTGTCGCCAGGAGGAGTCATCCAGCACTGACTTGGAGAAAACACGGCTGGAGTCAAGTCACCGTGGAGATGCACTGGCTAAAGTATCCAGAGAAAAGGAAGCCCTGGTGCGTGAGAAGGCAGCACTGGAGGTGCGACTAGGGGCTGTGGAGCGGGACAGACGTGGCCTTTCAGAGCAACTGGCAGAGCTCAGGTGAGGTTGGGGAAAGGGCCTTGTGCAGCACACAGATATACTTGTTGGATCTAGTTGTAATGTCACTCGGCACTGAGTAGCTGGAATAGTATAGGTCGACTTACCCCCATAGTGAAGACATGCTCTGAGAGAGTGCTTTCCATCTGAGGATCACTGTATGTTTTGCAAACAGCCTCACCACCTCTGGGAGGTAGGGCCATTTTAGTATCCATGTGCCAGGGCCAGAGTTCGCTCAGCCGGACAGCCGCTCATCAGGAGTCACAAGAGAAAACCCGAAGTCCCAGTGAGGATTTATTTTTGGTGCAAGCTTAATAAACTGAAGCAGAAGTATCTGCCCATGTCCCTTTCCTGCAGCATGGTACTGTGTAAACTCCAAAACAATCCAGTATAATTCTTCAATATCTAGTTCCTCAGCTCTGACAGAGTGAGCTGCCCCTGGGCCATCTTCTTTGGCACAAGCTGTTTGCTTGGATTATCGGGATTGTGGAATGGAGTCTGAGGCTGAGTTTTCTGCAGGCTGCACACTTCTGTTGATTGAGTAGACATCATTCCCTGATTACAACACCACGGATTTTGGAGCGGGCACTTCTGGATCCAAGGCTTTGACCTGAGGACAGTCAGAGTCAGTCCCACATCCGACTAAGATGGAGCTAGAGACTTATTCTGAAGGTGCTGGAAACCCAGAAACCTTCACGGATCCATTTCTATGTTTGTTTATGTTGGGAATGATGGGGGTTGTAGGAATGTGCCACAGACCGAGATTCCATTTTCCCCTTGGCCCTCTCCAGCCTCTTTTGATTTCTAGTCCTTCCCTGTTTTATGGATCCTTTACACCTGAGCCTTGCTGACCTGTAGGAACAGGCATCAAGGTGAAATTGTTTGGTCCTGATAGAGGCCTCCCTATAGGATGGGGGAGCAGGCTGATGCCAGACACAGGGTATGTCT